AGGGTCTTCCGGGCAAACCTGACAAGAGGCGATCGTGCCTTTGCAGCTGCTGCTCCCAAATTATGGAATGATTTATCACTGCTCATTAGACAAGTCTCTTCTTTGCCGGTTTTTAAATGCCTTTTGAAAACTCATTTATTCTCGTTGGCGTTTTGATACCATTTATTGGTGTGATCTTATCTGTATTGATTGATATCTTATCTTTGTGTTGATTTTATCTGTCCTTGTAAGTTGTGGTTATTTTAATGTATATTGTTAATCACACTGTACAGCACTTTGGTCCGTCTCGGTTGTTTCAGTGCTTTATAAATAAAGTTGGTATGGTATGGTATATTATGTTAAATTATTTCTTTTCACATCTCTAGCACTGTATTAGTCTAACCTTTTATCTACAGACCTTACATGTCCTACATACCTAAAATATTTCATTCTTCCTGGGACAAACACAGCATGGAACAGTGCTACGTTGGTTTGATCCACTGTGTGTTCTGCTGTTGTATGCTGACATTTTCCAACCACTGCAAGATTAATGAAACCTCTTTTCTAGTAGTTTATCATTTAAGATGCCACTGGTTTAGTGCAGGTGCCATTATAAAGTGAGATAATTTTACCAAGGGGAAGTAAAAAGAAAATGCCATGATTTACACAAGCTTATAGCTGATACTAACAACCAGTTTGATGATTGATTATTCAATAAATTACTTTTACAATGAAATCTGTCATTACTGTAAAAAAAATAAATAAATCAGAAAATAGTGATAATGCATTACAGCCACAAATAAACAGCCCAATGCTAAAAACATAAAGTTATAATGATATAAAAAACATTTAAAAATGTAAATCTGACAATTTCTTCGGGCAAAAAAGAAGCTGCTGAAAAGAGGTCCAGAATAGAGAAGATAATTAGTGACATTTCAGGGTATAATTTTAGAAAAATTACAACAAGAACTAGATGAAATGTATGCGGAAAGGGCAAAGGGAGCCTTTGTACGCTCACAATGAAAATGGTTGGGGGGGGGATGAATGCAGAGATGAACTTCATAACCAAACTGAAAATTGAAGACTCTGTATGTGATGATTCCAATGCTCATCCTAAATATATTGCTAATTTCTTTGCTACTTTGTATAAACTTAATGATTCCCGCGATAGTTCCGCTTCACACTCGGCTGCAAACCGCCCCAGTGCACGTTGGATGGACTGGTTGGGCAAACTCCCACTTGTTTGGGTCTGTTATTCAGTTTCACTTTGATTTATTATGCCTACGTTTGTCCTCTTGTTGCATCCTGTTATACAATTGATGCAATTATTTATACTGAATATAATTTGTATTGATTTGCATTGCTGTTAAATAAAAAGACTTATAAAAAAAAACTTATTTTAGCAACCTGTCAAACATGTCGGAGTCCAGAGCAGCCCTCAGCACCCATCCAATGAGCGGGACTCCGGCCAACCTCTTGATGTTTTTTAGAGGGATCCCTTTACTCCCTCCCCTCGCCAGGATCAACGCAGCTACATGTCTTTGGCCATTCACCCAGGTCTGCTTGCAGTCAGGCAGCTGTCCCTCCTGTTCAGCTTCATCGTCGGGCTTGCGTTTTTTCCTGGAATCCATAACGACTGTAGCGGCTCAGTGATCTGTAAAAAGTTGTAGTTAGCAGTCGCAAAACGAGAAAATTCACGAAACACGGATGAGCTTCACTGACTTTATGTAAAAACGTGACAAACCCATCATGACGTCACCTATGACAAGTTTCTGAAGCGCAAATCTGGCCGTCACCATATTGGCAGCGCCTCAATCCGCCTGTCACTCAGCGCCTGTCACTCAAGGGGGGCCACGCCCTCAGTTAATTTAACTGATTTATAGTAGCTATTAATATTCTTCTATTCACAGTGGATTATTGTTTTGGTTGTATGGCCACCACCTTTACTCTTTTGGTTAATTTGATTCCTGTCCAGCCTCAGCTAAAGAGCTGATTTCAGTGAAAAAGCTTTAATAAACCCAGTGTGCACTACCTGCCCAGCACCAAATAACAGAATTACAAAATTAGAAACTAGCAAGTGAACCTCAAACATTTCGCAACTGGAGAGCTAGATATTTCCCTTGGGAGTTGGTAGAGTCCAAAAATAGAATTAAAAATCAATAAGAATGAATATTGGCTTTCTGTTTTTTACTGGGCCATAAATATGATAAAAAAATTTTTGCAAATTAGATTTTAATGTCTGCTACAGTCTAAATATTTACTTTGTCACCTAAAAAATACCAACACTTAATAAAATGGCATAATACCAGTCCTGGGGTGAAAATTATCACAGCAATGAGCCTGGCTCAACATCTCTGCCATTTCCGTTTCCTGACTTCTTCTGTGTTTTCTGTACTTTGTTGTTTGAACTCCCTAGTCAGAATATTAATATTGCACAAGTACAAAAGCAACAGCTACACAACCATCTCCAGCTGATAGATGCATACGTTTTAAAACGTTCAGTGATTATATATTGATGTGTACTGCCCTGTGTAGTTAACAAAGATGATGACAAACAGGGCAAGCTTCAAAATAAATCTGTATGTTTCTTTAAACAGGATAAAAGTACAGTGGTGGATGATGTACCTGCCTGGTGTGTGTTTTGTGTGTGTGACAGGACACACGCACACACGCACAAAGAGCTATGATAATTGCTCACAGAAACAGGCATTCTGTGTAGGCGAAGGTCTTTTTTTTAAATCTGCGAATCCACAAACATGTGTCAGAGCCTGTTTTTAATACACACACACACACACACACACACACACACACACACACACACACAAAGAGCTATGATAATTGCCCACAGAAACAGGCGTGTTGATTACGTGTATGTCGCAAGATGCAAACAGTTGGACAGTTTTCTGTGTAGGTGTAGGGCTTTTTTTTATTTTTTTAAATCTGCTAATCCACAAACACGTGCCAGAGCCTGTTTCTGATGGGTCATCAGTCTCAAATTAGCCCCTGTTTAGTCTATAGTCTGGTGTAGCCTTCTTAATTCCAGGCACACATAGGTTTTCAAAAGTGAGGCTACTAAAGGATGAATTTAATTAAAATACAAAATAGAAAAAGTGAAATAAGCACCAATATCTATGTGATGTTTCAGGGTTCAAAGATCCAACAGCAGTGATTTTCTTTATAACATAAATGAAGCTTTAGTTATTAACTTTTTTTTTTTTATAAAATATGCTTTACTTTCTTAATGAGAGTTATATATAGAGGACTTTGACATTTGTATAGTGATTATAATATACAAAAAACTGAGCACACGCCTTTGTAATATATAAAATGTCAAAGTATTACAAAGTGGCTCTTAAGTCTAAACACACACAGACAGGCATCCACCTCTGTGGAAATGAATTGTTTGGGGAGGTTTACAGAGCTGGTGCTGCAAGACTGTCTGGTTCCACAAGTCTAACTGTAATGGGAATGTGTGTGTGTGTGTGTGTGTGTGGGCACATGTCTACATGCAAAAATAAGTTACACAAAACAAAAGGCTAAACGTGCACACCCACACCCACACACACACAAATAAATGCACATATTGAACTCTGTGTGTTTGCTAATTGAGAGACTGTGCAAATATGAAGGGGCGCAGGCCGACTGCCTATTGTGAAACTAGAGTACAGCAAATATCTGTCATGGCATCGTTCTCTCTCTCTGCTCTGCCTTCTCACCCTCGGTTCCCTTTGTTTTCCAGTTTTAAAGAGATTTCTTGTCTTTGTAAACCTGTTGTTTTAGTTATGAATCCTATGTTGCACACTGGCAACTGTAACAACAAAGACCTAAAAATATAAATGGCAAGTTTAAAAACTTGATTGATTTTCACTCGTTTCCATTTTCCTTTTATTGATTTATCGCTGCACAGGATGTGAGGTGCTATAAAATTCATACAGAAGCCAATTTAGTGATTTAGATGACAATTATTATTATTAACCATAATCATTTGATTATCAGAGCAGCTGCCAATTAATATTCTGTTGCTCTACCAATCAGTTAATGGACTAAACATTTCATCTTATTTCCCCTTTAATAATAATGAGAAGCAAATGGTAAAATATACAGTAAACTCCATGTAAAACATGCGTGTAAAAGTAATAGTAAAACTAAATCCAGTAAAATAAACGGACCAAGTAAAATCAAGATAGTGTTCTTTACAATAAGGTTGTATTTTAGAAAGAGATTTGCATCAAAATATGACTTTTCACCTCTCTCCTTTATAGTCTCCATCTTTCCTCCATCTGTCCTGAAGATGGAGGCTGAAGCCAGCCCTGCTGAGATGACACCGCTCTGCCTCAGCAAACATCCAGTATCTGACACGCGAATGCACGCTGAGCTGCCGTCCAGCACGGTCTTGGGCCGACCACAGAGCCCGGTAGATTCATCTGAGGAGAAGTCAGAGGTCAGGAGGAGGTCGCAGGGTGGCTCCACATATGTGCGATCCAAAATCAAGGTGAGGGAACAAGTAGGAACTCAGTGTGAAAAATATTGGTGGGGGTATTTCCATACTATGTTTATTATATATTTTTTTTAATACATTACATTCACACCATGGCTGCTTAGCCTGCAGCTCTTTGTTTTTGTAGAGAAGTTCGAGTTGTTTCTTCTTGTATCATTAGAGGACAGTGGTCACTCTCAAAGTGTTTCGAGCACTCCCAGGCAGAGCTGATGGAGGTGCTGGAGATGAGCTATAGGGCGGCCAAGCTCCAGGCCAGTACCATGATATGTCAGCTGGAGGTTAAAGAACTGTGGGGGAAACAAAATGCTTTTGAGAAGGTTGCACAGTCAAATGACCACATACGTCAAGGTTGGTAAGACTCTACAGTTCAGCACCACCCTATATTATAGTCATAAAAGACAGCAACAGTGCCCTCTGGTGGTAGAATTCATTATAACCTGCATAGAGAGCATGGGTACTCTTCTTCTTTTTCTCAATTACACTGAACACAAAAGAACGCCAGTGCTGCAAAACTGCATGTACCGGTACTTAATATCAAACACTAACATTCAGAAGGGTTTTCTTCCATTCAGAAAATCAGTTTGTCCAATTTTATTTCAAGCTATACATCACTGGGATCATCCTGCAGAACTGTGAAACAAATTTGATATCATTCCAATATAGATAACTACCTCCAAATTTAAATGTATATGTCAGAGTGCTATATGTGACTGAGAATTTTTTCAGACACAACATATAAATATCTGAAACACACAAAGTAGCAACAACCACACTGAGCAAGGTTAAATTAGAGTTACTCAAAGATTTCTCTAAGCCTTTATGAGTTAAGGAGACCGGTGCTCTGTTCTTGATACATGTCACCTTGTTCCTTTCCAGGTTTTACTGCATCGGTACTGCAGCCCAGTCCAGTCCAAACGCAGCCCAGTGAGTGTCCACTCCCACTCCACCTTAGACTCATGATCAGGGTCTATACTGTGCATAAACCAGTGAATGATATCTGCCATCCACCTACATTTGTGGTTTAATATTGATGATGAAAGCCAGTGAGTGATACTTGAGTTATACTGCATGTAGTTGTGTGAGCATTCCACCACCAGTCAGTGGTATAAATCTATTCAATGCATTAGTGAGTGTTCTGTTTTAATGAAACTGTTTTGTTTTTATGCAGGGGAGAAGAGGGTACAGGAGTATGCGGGTATGTTAGTTTGAATCATGTAAAAGCATCATTCAGCTCAGTCGGCTTGTAGTCATGAAATATGACTAAAATAAAGATTTGTTTTGTTTTTATTTTCCTCCAACACAGTGGATATAACTCTGGACTCCAACACCGCCCACCCCAGGCTGATTCTGTCAGAGGACATGAAAAGTGTAAGACACCTATTCAGTTATTATATCACTTAATAATTCATCTTTCAGATGTATTCTTTACCATGAATGTTTTCTACATTATACTGTGTAAACATGGGCAGCAGATCGAAGAATCCCTAACTGGTTCTGTGTATCACTATAATTCCTTATGTCCTCCTTCTCTACAGGTATCCTTCTACAATGTTGATGCTAAAATCCACATCTACACTTTCAACGACACTTTCACTCAGCATATCTACCCTTTCTTCAGCCCTTGTACTAATAAATCAGGGAAGAATGACGGGCCGCTGGTCATCACACCAGTATTCACTTTATCTTTTTCATTTGTCAAAATGACCCCATGCTGAACATTAAATACTGTAAGTAATCAGAACAAAATCACTTGAGACAATTCAATAAAACAACTGAACCCAAACAATGAACATTTCAACACTGCAGTTAAAAGTCATCCATGAGGAAATGGATAAGTGCTATATACAGGTATTACTTTATCACACCCAATCAAACACAGAGCAATTCAGTTTATTACTTCACTGACCGAGTAAAGTGCAAATCCAGGTTATTATATGAAGTCACACCCCAATTTTGCAGATTTTCTAAGAAGGTTTAATATTTATTGAATTGAAATATCTAACTTAAGTTCATCTTGCGTCCCTCCTTGATTTCTGTACAAAGAAATCCCCATTCATTCATACAAGTCCTCCCCTTTTAAACGAGCTTGACACCGGGACCAAGCGTGCACAGGTTTGGGTTGGATCTTAGCAGGAGAACAGATGGAGAATTCTTTGTACAAGAAGCATGGAGGGATGTTAGATGAACTTTATTTAGATATACAATCACTTCTATAATTATTAAAACCTGAACCCACTGACAGTCATTTCTAGTAATTGTCCATGAAATGTGCCAAATTTTGAAAATTTCCAAGTCGTGTTTAATGTATCTAGGAGCTGCTGCGGTCAATGCGATCCTGCTCCATCTGAGACTTCGCCTTTTCTTTCTGCAGGAGAATGTGCTCTGCAAACTCCCTAACAGCTCCCTTTCCTCCAACACTGTGGCAGGTGTATTTTGCAGCATTAATGGCTACCACAGGAGCACTCCAGGTACTGCACTCAGACCTGCCCGGTTCAGACAGTTGACGTCGGCTTTATCATTACCTGAGAAGAAGAGAAATGAAAAGGGAAGACAGAAATCAACATCGAATATAAAGCCTGCAAAAAAGCAACTACATATCATTTACATAAATATTAAGACAGGCCACATAAAAGGTAAGGGTTGAGCTTTACCAGAGGCTAAGTGTTTCCAGACTTTATGCTAAGCTAACCAAAACCAGCTTTTGGATCTAACTTCATGCTTATTGTAAAGGCAAGAGTGATATCATTAACTAGGACTGCAACTTACAATTATTTTCACAAGAAATTCATCTTTTGATCATTTTATGACTCAGTTAACAGTTTACTCGTTACAATGTCTTAACATGGACAAAAAAATTTGTTGTGGTTTCCCAGAGCCCAAGGTGACATCTTCAAATTGCTCCAACAACACTCCGCACCCAAAGTGTTTCAGTTTGTGAGGATATAATAGAGACATCATCTAATTTGAAGAAGTGGAATCCACTGACTGGAACAGTGTTTCAATAAACTACTTGAAACAGTAAACTGCTGTTTTATTAATTTTCTGTTGGTTAATTATTTGACTACTAATCTCAACACATTCTGACACGGACAGACGCCTGCATTTACCCATGTATGCCACGTCCTTCCATTCCAAATTCCTCTGCTTCACCATCGACTTCAAGTCACTCAGCGGCTCCTGGCCCACCAGTACCACCTCACAGCCCATCCTCTTTTTCAGTTTGTCAGTCACCGACTGGGCCACAGGGTCCTCGCTGGAAGTCAAGAGCACTACCTGTTGGAGGAAGACAGAGAGGTCAGTGTGTGGCGATATGAGTCGATTCACCAATGCTTTTTAAAGTGGTGACAAGTTCAAACCTCTACATCTTCTCTTTGCAGCATACGGATGCCCATGGTATCTTTAGTGTTGACAGACACCATCTCCTCTCCAGATGCAGACAGGTAGATCCTTCCATCCGTTAAACATCCAGAAACACAGCAGAACATCAGCTTAACCACCTCAGGTTTGACCCGACCAAAGTAACCATACCTGTGGGGAAAAAGCAGAAACTGGGGGATAAAATGTCATGAAAATTACATTAAGTATGTTTTAAACTGTGCTCTAATCAATATATTAACCAACGTATATTATTCAATGGATTGTAAACTTTCAGAACAGATCACAGGGACCTGTGAGACACTGCTGGTGTGAACTGAAGAAACAACCACTAAGTCATTTGTAGCTGCTTCTTCTCTTTCTGATACACAAGCCTGGGCACATGTTAATAGACTAATGTAGGTGAAACATTTTAATGTACTTTGAATAATTTGTTCATTTCTTAAAAATGAGGTTTTCTGATAAGCTGGACAAGTGTATGTGGTCTTAATGTTAGGATGAGCTTTGGAGGAATTAACTTCCTCTGTATTGTTGACAGATGCTACTCTTATAACTGCATGTTAAATATAAAGCTGTACACATATTAGATTAATTATGGCAAAGTAAACGTATAAATAAAAAACAAATCCACATAATGTGCATTCATTTCACTTTCTTAATGATTTGTCATTTAAGTGTCAATCTTCCTGTGCTGCACATTAGACACTTTCACTTTTTCAACTTCACAGAAAACTATGAAATCAGAACAAAATCACTTATGACAATTATTAAAACACACCTGAAGCCAAATGATGAACATTTCAACACTTTAACCAAAAAGCAGCCATGAGGAAATGGAGAATAAGTGTTACATACAAGTAATGCCTTATCAAACAGAGTGCATTTAGTTTATGACTTCACTGGCCGAGTAAAGTGCAAATCCAGGTTATTATATGAAGCCACACCCGTTATTCATCTAAAAAGCAGACCATCAATCTCTCAGAGGAAAAGTTTGCAGATCTTTTAAGAATGTTTAATATTTATTGAATTGAAATATCAAAATTAAGTTCATCTTACATCCTTCCATGATTTCTGTACAAATGGATCTGGTTGGATCTTAGCAGGAGAACAGATGGAGAATTCTTTGTACAAGAAGCATGGAGGGATGTGAGATGAACTTTATTTAGATATACAATCACTTCTATAATTATTAAAACCTGAACCCACTGACAGTCATTTCTAGTAATTGTCCATGAAATGTGCCAAATTTTGAAAATTTCCAAGTCGTGTTTAATGTATCTAGGAGCTGCTGCGGTCAATGCGATCCTGCTCCATCTGAGACCTCGCCTTTTCTTTCTGCAGGAGAATGTGCTCTGCAAACTCCCTAACAGCTCCCTTTCCTCCAACACTGTGGCAGGTGTATTTTGCAGCATTAATGGCTACCACAGGAGCATCTCCAGGTATTGCACTCAGACCTGCCTGGTTCAGACAGTTGATGTCGGCTTTATCATTACCTGAGAAGAAGAGAAATGAAAAGGGAAGACAGAAATCAACATCAACTATGAAGCCTGCAAAAAAAAAAAAAACTACATATCATTTACATAAACATTAAGACAGGCCACATAAAAGGTAAGGGTTGTGCTTTACCAGAGGCGTTTTTCAAACATCCTGTTCTACTGCTTTCAAGAGAAAAAGACTGTAAGGGTAGTTACTAAGTGGTTGGTTTTGCATTTGTGTTTTCAGCTTGTTTGCCCATCTCCATTACAACGTTGTGTCTTGACTGTTTCTGCGAGATGCATCCAGGACAGTCTGTCTTAATATGAAAATCACCATGAGTTGCAGCCTTTAAGTGCCCCAAAAATGTTCTTGGATCGATGGTGTATATTCTTGGTGTATTTTGGTTGATTTGACAACTTTGATTGGCGGTCCAATGCTGTCGCCCACCTTCTTGTCACTAAAGCTCAGAATCTGGTTGCAAAATACCAAGATGGCAGGCGTAATCCACTGACTGGAACAGTGTTTCAATAAACTACTTGAAACAGTAAACTGCTGTTTTATTAATTTTCATTCATTCATTTTCTACTGCTTAGTCCCTGAACGAGGTCACGGGGGGGGGGGCCGGAGCCAATCCCGGCCGGCAATCGGGTGAAGGCGGGGTACACCCTGGACAGGTCGCCAATCCATCGCAGGGCTAACACATAGACGAACAACCACACACACGCACTCCTATGGGCAATTTAGAGACACCAATCAACCTAAGCTGCATGTCTTTGGACTGTGGGAGGAAGCCGGGTGGGTTCTCTCTGGGTTTATTAATTTTCTGTTGGTTAATTATTTGACTACTAATCTCAACACATTCTGACACGGACAGACGCCTGCATTTACCCATGTATGCCACGTCCTTCCATTCCAAATTCCTCTGCTTCACCATCGACTTCAAGTCACTCAGCGGCTCCTGGCCCACCAGTACCACCTCACAGCCCATCCTCTTTTTCAGATTGTCAGACGCCGTCTTGGCCACAGGGTCCTCGCTGGAAGTCAAGAGCACTACCTGTTGGAGGAAGACAGAGAGGTCAGTGTGTGGCGATATGAGTCGATTCACCAATGCTTTTTAAAGTGGTGACAAGTTCAAACCTCTACATCTTCTCTTTGCAGCATACGGATGCCCATGGTATCTTTAGTGTTGACAGACACCATCTCCTCTCCAGATGCAGACAGGTAGATCCTTCCATCCGTTAAACATCCAGAAACACAGCAGAACATCAGCTTAACCACCTCAGGTTTGACCCGACCAAAGTAACCATACCTGTGGGGAAAAAGCAGAAACTGGGGGATAAAATGTCATGAAAATTACATTAAGTATGTTTTAAACTGTGCTCTAATCAATATATTAACCAACGTATATTATTCAATGGATTGTAAACTTTCAGAACAGATCACAGGGACCTGTGAGACACTGCTGGTGTGAACTGAAGAACATGTTCTATCTCTGTTTTTGTACTTTGTGCGTTGTTATATGTTCAACCAGATGGCATCCCAGACTTAAAGGAGCCAGCCATAAACTGTTCCGGCCATATACTGTGGAGATAAACAGACAAGAGATTGTGTAATGTTCTTCATCAGGGCAAAACCCTCTCAAGTTCACTTTCCCTCTGCAAATCTTTTTTACAACCTGATTAACGCCTGGGATGTGTCTCTAGGGAGTTCCCTTTGTCCTATATATTGTGATGTTTAGACTAAACTCATTCAGACAACTCTGTATGCCTGTGCTGACTTGTCTCCTTGCTGCAAGTAAACCAATCTCTTATTGAAAGATTCCAGTTACTTCATTGCTTCTTTGTAAATTCTTTTGACAGAAAAGAAGACAGAAATGGAATAAACAAACACCAGCATGTACACAGGGTCTTGTCTAAAGCCTCTACTGTCAGTAATCTAGCTGGACATGGCTGTTTTCTAATGCAGAGAATGTGTTTTATTTAACCTGAGAACCCTCCGTTCTGCCACAGGCCAGTCGATGTCCACGTCAATGTCCACACTGTGTTCTGGCGGCATCTCATAGTAGGCTACCTTACCACTCTGTAGAGGGGGATGTGGGGTAAATGTAAAGACTGCACAATTAAAAATATAAAATCACCCCAACAGAAACTGCAACACTAAGTGCAAATCTGCAAAATAATGAATGAAACCAGAATTAAAATTGAAAAATGTTGAGTTAGCACTTTTCAAATTTACATGTCACAGGTTGTCACTGGTTACATGTAACTAGTGGAGGCACATAACAACCCTGTCACTTTTAGGAGACGTGAAACTAAGAAACATAAAAAAAAAATAAAATACTGCAATTAAGTTTGCCGCATCATTACCTGCAAGTAGGTGAAGTTAAGTGAATATTTAACAATTATCAAACAGCTTTCAGTTACAGTTTCCAGTAAATTACCAGGAAAGTACAGGATCCATAAAATAAAATGTTTATAGTGTAACCTACATCATCTAGAACTGTAAAAAATTACACACAAAAGGGTGACTAGATCCTGGACTATTTTCAGTGCACTGTAACAACAGTCTTATGTGTTGACTTACATCCTTTTTTGACCTCCTTCCAACGGAAATGGTGTCTCCTGACCACCGAGAAGACTGAATCATAGCCCTGCTGCAGGATCATCTGTAGGGCCTCCTTCACATGCTTTGGATGGAGACATGGAGACGTAGCCTGAATGTTACATATCACATCCACGTCTATGAAAACAAAGTCAACAAACGATGTGTTTAAAGACAAGTGACTGCTCTGTCACTAATTAAACGAAAACATAGCAGAGCTAAGACCACACCAGTTTACACATCCTGCAGTGCCATACATACGCGGATTGAGCCTGGCAAACTCTTGAATAGCTTCCAATGATGTGGAAGCATCTCTGGAGAATTCAGGACTTCTGCGATGCACCCGGGCACCCCAGGATTTGGCCACCTTCTCGATCTCATCATGGTCCGTTGATACCCACACGCTAGGAAAATGCAGATGTTACCTATATTATGTTAAATTATTTCTTTTCATATCTCTAGCACTGTATTAGTCTAACCTTTTATCTACAGACCTTACATGTCCTACATACCTAAAATATTTAATTATTACTGGGACAAACACATAGCATGGAACAGTGCTACGTTGGTTTGATCCACTGTGTGTTCTGCTGTTGTATGCTGACATTTTCCAACCACTGCAAGATTAATGAAACCTCTTTTCTAGTAGTTTATCATTTAAGATGCCACTGGTTTAGTGCAGGTGCCATTATAAAGTGAGATAATTTTACCAAGGGGAAGTAAAAAGAAAATGCCATGATTTACACAAGCTTATAGCTGATACTAACAACCAGTTTGATGATTGATTATTCAATAAATTACTTTTACAATGAAATCTGTCATTATTGTAAAAAAAAAAATCTGAAAATAGTGATAATGCATTACAGCCACAAATAAACAGCCTGTATTGTCCAACAAACAGCCCAATGCTAAAAACATAAAGTTATAATGATATAAAAAAGAGAGAGAAGCCCCAAATTGTCATTGAGAAGTCAAATGCTTTCTTCTTCATGAGTTAAATACACTACCTGGCTATTATTTTCCTATGCTCCAATTCTTACAACATGAATGTAGGCTATCACAAAACATGTACTTTGTGACGTATCCTTGCACTTCAACCTCCAACCTAGTGTATCTTACTTACTGCGTCATTAACGTTTCCTCTGCCGTGAATACGAGACAAGAGGAACCAAAACAAGACAACACACGCCACAAACCTTGAAGCACATCCACCTCAGGGTCTGTCTGACGACACTTTAAAAGACGAAGGACAGAATTTCCACCATAACTACCAAATGTGGGGACTCGCCATCTTCTCCACCCTTACTATCAACCTACTATATCACTTATGTCGGTACTACTTATTTTACCAACCTGTCAAACATGTCGGAGTCCAGAGCAGCCCTCAGCACCCATCCAATGAGCGGGACTCCGGCTAACATTTTGATGTTTTTTAGAGGGATCCCTTTACTTCCTCCCCTCGCCAGAATCAACGCAGCTACGTGTCTTTTGCCATTCACCCGAATCTGCTTGCAGCCGGGCCGCTGTCCCTCCTGTTCAGCTTCATCGCCGGGGCTGCGTCTTTTCCTTGAATCCATAACGACTGTAGCGGCTCAGTGATCTGTAAAAAGTTGTGGATAGCACTTAAACTATCGCCATTAAAGAAAGGGATGCCCCACTCATTGGTGAGCTTCAGTGACTGTATGTAAAAGCTGGACAAACCTACCATGACGTCATGAGTCCCGCTTCTTCTTCTTCTTCTTCTTTGTTGTTTTCTGCCTCTTCTTCTTCTTCTTTTGTTGTTTAATGGAGGTTGGCAAACAGCTTTAGGTGCATTACCGCCACCTTCTAGACTGGAGTGTGGATCAGAACGGTCCCTACCTACTACTATAACAAAATTATCTCACTCAATTCACATTATATTGTCTTGCTTAGCTCCATACTCTCTAAAAACCTAAGAAGTGCTGTGTACCCTTTATCCCCTGAGCATTTTTTCAACACCTCCTATAAAACTAAAGTTAATTCCACCGTTTAGAACATTATCTTTAAATAACTCCCTCTCCCACCTGAACCTGGGACAACTCATAATAACATGTTCCACGGTTTCTTGTACCCTACACAACTCACATTCCCCTGTATTATGCTTCTTCATCAACTTCAATGTACTTTTCAAATCAGTATGACCAAACTTCATTCTTGATATCATATTTTCTTCCTTCCTATTCCTAGTACTTTCTTAGGTATTTTTAGTCAGATAGACATTGGTTAGAGACTTGATGTATTAGAAATGTTTAGAGTAGACAGGATGTCTAGCTCAGGCTGTTAAATGCTTAGTTATTCTTAAGGGTACTGCAGGTTGTTTATGGCCAAGGATAACTAGATAGAAAGTTGATTACTGTTAGAAGACAGGATGTTTATTATTATTATTATGACGTGTATAACTGTAGTTATAGCCATAATATTTTCTTATGTTTAATGTCATGACATGTCATTAGAGGTTGTGTTAGAATGTTTTAGCTACACACCACATTATCAACAGACCGTCACACATTGATTTTCTTCATGCTTCGACTACTGCCATGGTCAGCTGCAAAGCTGGCACCGGGAGACATCACGGTTTGGCGTTCCTGAGTAGAATGGGGCTAGCCTGAAGTGATATAATGTATAGGCCTGTTGTGGTTCAGGGCTTTTCATCTTTCAGTTGCCTGCATGCATGTTGGAGGTGCAAAGATACCTGAGCGTGTAATGTTAATTTTTACCTGTGTTCATTGAATAAATCAGCACTGTTTTGAAGTTACTTGGACTGCCTCGTCTCTCAGAGTTAGCATGGTTAAAAGTACCGGGTCCAACAACTTCTTCTCATTTCTCCTACTTTCCTTTGGATACTAAAATAGAATCGACCCTTGCTAAGTGAACCTCAAACATTTAGCAGCTAGAGAGCTAGCTAAGTTCTCTTGGAAGTTGGTAGAGCCCAAAAATGGATTTAAAAATCAGTTAGAATGAATATTGGCTTTCCATTCTATTCTTGGCCATAAATATGGTTAAAAATGATTGCAAATTAGTTTTATTGTCTGCTCAATGTGTAAATGGGTAACTGATTGCTAATAACCTTCCAATTCAACTTAATTTTAATTTATACTTGTCCACAACTACACGTAGGTGTTGACATGTACCTACGCAGCAAAGATGTGTATGGGTAAATGTAGGTCACTGATGGTCACAGCTGCTCAACATGCACACCTCCCAAAGCTCAGCTGCATGTCCTGCACACTGATTGGTTGATCTGATTTGCAGCTGCCTGCTAATTGGTCCACTAGCAGATACTTCAGATTTCTAAATTGGTATTGCTTGGCTAGACTGACCACCTATTCTCAGTATAAATGTTTACTTTCTCACCTAAAAATATCACCATTTAATAAAACGGCATAATACCAGCCCTGGGGTGAAAATTGTCACAGCAATGAGCCTGGCTCAACATCTCTGCCATGTCCACTTCCTGACTTCTGCTGTGCCTTCTGTACTTTGTTGTTTGAACTCCCTAGTCAGAATATTAACATTGCACAAGTACAAAAGCAACAGCTACACAGCCATCTCCAGCTGACAGATGCATACGTTTTCAAAGGTTCAGTGAGACAGAAGTATAAATCTGGCTTTAGAAGGAGATGATAGTGTATGTCAGTTTTATATTTCAAGCTTGTTTCTGCTTCCCCCAAGTGGCAACATCAGCTAATACAACTTTAAAGGACACATCTGTAATTGTGTCAAATCTTGAAAAGTCCCACCTGATTGTTATATAACTGAAAATTGAGGCTGCCTCCTGGAATTTGGACTGCAGTACCTGATTTACTTGTTCTGCTTTGTGTCTGTCAAAAATCTGTTGACATTTTCTTTTCAACAAGACACTCAGATCTTATGCTTTCTTTCTTTTTTCATTTCTTTTACATTTAGCTCATCGAGTCTTTTAACTTATGCATGTGTTACAAGAACAACACACAGCAACTCGCAGTTGGTACTGTACACCCGAAAGAGCGCACAGGAGTAAATATATTATCACATGCGCTTTTCTCAGTGTAAACAGCTACACACAGGTATGCTGCCTGACCAGTGCTCTCCACCCATTGCAGAGAAAACAAAACCCATAAAAACTATGCAAACTGACCTTTAATAATAAGAAGACTTTGACTGGGAGGGAGGGAGGGAGGAAGAATGGAAACTGAAGAGAATCAAAACCCTAGAAACAGAAATAAGCAAGTCAGAAAAAAGGTCAACTCCTTTTCTAGCCAAACTAGCTTTAAAAAGCTACAAAGAATTGCTCATATTTTCACAATTCCAAACATTTTTGCTCTCTCTTATTTTTAAAACTCAATTTTGTGGCCTTTTATAAACAAATATTGTTTTTTAATTTTTCATCTTTTCTAGTTGACTCATAATTGATGGTGTAACCTATGGTGCTTGCTTAGAAATCACCTTACCTGGATAACAGAACTGATAATTTACAAGGACAGTTTGACTTATTTATGTGCTTATGCTCTGATAATGTAGATACCCCATTCACAGAAAATACTTGTTTCTAATTGGATGGCAAATGTCTGGTCAAATCAAAAAGCATGACACCTTAAAGCCCCACATGTTGAATATTTTTATGATATTGCAGCATCTTTAAAATCAGTATATGTATATATGTTAAGCTGTTGCTTTGGGGGGGGGAAACCATATGGATTGCTACCTGCTGCAGCCTAAATTTTGATGTCACCACAAAGAGTTGTCAAAGTCATATCCAAATTTTGAAATTGCAAGAAAATGTTGAAACACTCATCTGAATCATCATCAGTTGTTACAGTGCATTGATAGCAGTATGTGGAGGAGCAGCAGTGAGTGATTTGCATATATGGCATTCATAAAATAATAATTATCCACTCTGAGATGTTGTAATGTAGAAAATGAAAATGACAGCTCTGCTGATGAAACACCGCGAATGCTTTGTGTTGAGATATTGTTCATCTCATCTGTCCATCATTTTCACATATTAGGTAGATCAGTTAACAGAACGCCTCAATGTGTACTGCCCTGTGTAGTTAACAAAGATGATGACAAACAGGGCAAGCTTCAAAATAAATCTGTATGTTTCTTTAAACAGGACAAAAGTACAGTGGTGGATGAGACACTGGAGAAGAGATGAGGTTGTTCATGTTGAACATTGTGTTGTCTCTCATCTCTTTCTTTATCTCTCTTTTAACATACTTCATTTTATGTGAGGTAAGTCTGAAGGATTTAGGGAGGAAGGAAAAAGATAACACATTTTGCTATTGCTAGTAGTATTTAAAAAGAGAAAGACATTAAAAAACCCATATAGGCAAGAAAGAGGATTAAAGGCAATGTGACAAAAAGGATAACAGTATCAATGACAGGAAGGGGCTGTATGAGAAAGAAAAGAGAGAAAGGAGTAGAATAGGATAGCTCATCTGCCCAAACTACTCCAACAGCCCAGATGGCATACCATTCATTATTTCATACTGCACCACTCCTCTCGTTAGACACCTCTTTTTCATACGCAGCTCTGACTTCTCCTCCTCTGTTCACAGGAAATGACAGGTGATAAATGATGCATTTGATTTCTTTTCTAAATGTGTTGGAAAATGAAAAACCTTGCCACACATAAACAGAAACTAAATGACATGAAGCATTAAAGTTACTCTAACTAATTTCATTTCAGCTGCTAGAGGGTCTAGTAGGATTTAAAACCAACTCACATGAGAAATCATTCTTTAGCGCTCTTTCCTCATTGAGTCCTGTTTCCTAAAGCTAAGACGTGAACTATGGATGCCTGGTTACAGCAAACTACGCTCTACTACAATCTGCTACGCTGCACCATGTTCTGTCCAGCTCTTCAGATATTTGTTATGAAATCACAGTAAATGAGAATGCGAGAAGACTTACTAATTTTAATTTTAAAATAAAGTGCAAACAATTCCAGTGTACTAAAAGTTCTGCCGAATGAGTAATGCCACTATCACTGCAACTCAGATGTTTGAGAAACATCTGAAGGACAACTCAAAAGGTCGCATGAATGCTCTGAATAGTCAGATTATTCCTACAGATACGTCGACTGTAACGAGAAGCATCAGATCCTTACACAACCAACAGAAGGCATTTGGGGAAAAACAGGCCTGCTCCCTCCCAGGAACAACAAGGATCCTTTGTATTCATGCAAGGTGTTTCTTGGTGGCGTGCCCTGGGACATCACAGAAGCTGGTCTGATCAACACCTTTAGTGGCTATGGCCCTCTGACTGTGGAGTGGCCGAGTAAGGATGGACAGCACCCTCGCTGCCCTCCCAAAGGTGGCTTGACTAGCGCCGGTGCATGGCAGCCTGTCGTCATCGGTGTGTGAATGTTGTGTGTGAATGGGTGAATGGTGTATGATCTTCTGTAAAGCGCTTTGGCCACACTGTGAGAAAGCGCTATATAAAATACAGTCCATTTACCATTTACCATTTAATCAAGCAGAAATAATTGAAAATCTCCAATCTGGGTCAGCACCTCCCCACATTAAGGCAGGTTTGGGAGCAGATTTCTACAACAAAAATATTTGGAAAAAAGTTTCAATTTATAGCTTTAATGCTGCCTATCTTTATTTTAAATGAGAAATAAAGCCCTGAACACCAGCAAAGGAGCAAGACACTGAACCCCCAGTTGCTCCCGGTGATGTCACTGGTGTGTGAATGTGTGAATGTTTGTGAGTGCGAATGGGTGAATGGCCGAATAATGTGAAAGCACTTTGAGTGTGCTGTAAAGCATAGAAAGGCGCTATACAAATATAAGACCATTTAGACCATTTACCATCTTTTGAATCAAAGGAATGATTTGACATTATGGGAAATATATACGTTCATGCCCAGAGATAAGAACATTTGGCATTTTGAGACTTGTTCTGAAAAGGCCTATTTTGGTTTTCATTTTACTGGTGAAGCAGAGACAGAAAACCAATACTAGAATAATTTTAAAAGCACCGCTTTGCTTGTGCTTCCTGACAACTGAGGAAAACAAATCTCCACCTGTCGACTGTGACAACTTTATAGATGTACACAAGCCGGTTATTCCGTTGCATCTGATCATAAGACTCAGTGAATGGTTAAAACAGTCCAACAGGAGCACAAAACATCAAAAACCCAGCAAACACCAAGTTGTTAGTTGTTTGTGCTACTAAACATCTGGCCAGAGCAACCAAAATAAAGAATCAGGATGCAGCCATATCCCTTCTTCCATCTCTTTGTATGTGGATTATTATTATTATGTCTGTACAGTGAACTTCTCCAAAAGGTTTATGTTGGTGTTCATTATAATTCCAGAAGCTAAGTATGTGTAATACTGGGCAAATACAACATAATGTGGACTGTTTACATGTAGCATGCACTCGAGGATGCAGTGTGTGCTGCATCTACTGACAGGTGTTTCTGTTATTCTTTTGCTTGTGTGCTGAAGCAGAGACAGAAGCAGAGTGTGCTACATGTACTTGAGGATCCTGTATGTCAGCACACAAGCAAAAGAATTTGTTCAAATATAATTTACAGAGGGTAAAAAAGAAAACTTGTAATACAACTTGATTCTTCCCACTTAAATGTTTGAGTTCATTTGTCATGAATTAATCTGTAGATACCTAACGTACAGTGCAACTTAGTATGTCACAGGTCACCTGTGTCACTCTGAGCTACAGAGATGCCTTTCATTTTCTGTTTCAGATGCTCATCCTTAAAAGCTGAAAAAAAGACATCAAAATATCTATAAGATTAACTTAAAAGGTCAGCTAACAAATGTACAGATGAGTCTAACCGTCTTTTAGTTTGGAGGCTTCTATTTACAGGATGGCATTACAATAATCCACCTCACTGCCATTTTGACTGCTGTGCTCATACATTTCCTGAGGGAAAGTATGTGCAGGCTCTTTGTATGTGTGTGTGTGTTCCTGTGTCTTCTTTGTTCCAACTGCCCTTCACACACTGCACACACTCTTCCCCGAATAAGTTCCTTTACTTGTAGCTCCCCACACCTTAAAGTAGAATGGAGAAGAGAGAGAGAGCGAGAGGAAAGCAAAGACCGAGACAGACAGAGAAAAAGGAGGGGTAAACCGGTTCAG